TGATCTCTGCTGCCTTCCCTAATCTGGGTTGTCAAGGTTCACTTGTTGGAAGCTGTTTACTTTAAAAAAAAACAGTGACCCCCCCCCCCCATCCCTCCTTCATACAATGACTAAAAAGACTGGAAGGAAAGAATGCTGCCAATGTAAGAAGTTACAGCTGAAATACCTTTTTGCAATGAAATTGTAGCTGACACATTTTGAACAAAAGTGACAAGGTTCTCTCATTCTTTCATCCTGCATAGTACTAAAAACATGAAATTGAATTACACGTCTTTTAAAACAGTCCAAATTTCTTTACAATCCTCTTAGTTGCAATTCTTCCCCCAGATTCATTTTGAGCTTAACAGAACTCAGTGGCTATTTCCATTTTAAGCATGGAAAATCCTTGTTTCTTCTTCATAAAAAAAAATCATAAAGAATTTTAAAAGGTTTCCTTTCCTGTTTAGCATTGTACGATTAAAAGTAGAAGCAACTGCATAGAACAAATAGCATTAGCAGTATTCCTTGTGATTATCTATAATAGTACAAAACTTCTCGTGAAACTTTTGTGACTTCATAATATCAGATATAAAAAAATAAATGCTAAAACTACCAAGTAAATAGGAAATAAATTGTATGCATCTTTAAATGGTATAAGTCAACAACGTATGAACATTCTATGTATTAAACAAGCATACCATATATAAATTGTATCCCATTATGCATTCATAACATTGATCAAATCTGAAACTTCTAAGGGTTCTCATTCTCAAAGAACTGTATCTGAAAGCAAATCTATGCTTCTAAAAACAGCTCATCTGCCAAAGAAATGAGAAGGTTTCACTCTTTTTAAACAGAATCTATAGACATTCCAGAGATCATGTTGGGCATATAACTTCAATATTCCCACCCCAACTGAAACCAACGCAAGTTGGGCCACTGTCTTCCATAGTTGTTCCTGCACTTTTTGTCTTCCTGTATTCTATTTAAGAAAATGGGGTAAAAAAATTAAACCATGTCAGATGTAGACACTGTAAAATCAATACACTTAGTAATCAGGCTAGCAGCAGTATCAGAACACAATGACTTGGAAATAATTAATAGTTATCAAATGGGATGGGATGAAATGGGGAAGGAGACAATTGCCATCATCTTTTATGACAGCATTTATATTGTTTGCTAAACTCCTGAGCTCTAGTTTTAAACTTAAAAACAAGGACATTACATTTTGTATGCAACCCTTTCTTTCTCTCATTTCTATCGTTTGAAGCAAAAAAAAAAAATCTGAGCCCACACCGCTGGCAAATTGAAGGGGTTTTTTGTTCTTTAGGAATGATACACAATTGTCATCTTATAGTGGGTTTTATGCTTAAAGCCTCCACTGGTTCTCTTATACTTACCTATAGAAAAAAGCTCTGTAATGGTGTGATTGCTACGGTCAGCACCCAACTCCTAACTCAGGGGCTCTTGTTGCTCCTGTGATCTTCGGCAGGCAAAACTTTGTGTTCTATAGTCGAGAAGAAACCAAGGCTACTTTCAATAAATCTCCACAAAATAGATTTTGGTTAAGAGATGGGAAGGCTAAGACCTGGAAGAGGGAGGGGAAAATATGTGCTTGTGTCTAAGGGATTGGGGGGGGGTGTCTTGGAAAGCACTTGCAAGAAAGGAAATCAAGAACTCTGCTCTAGTAATAGGATTTAAAATTGTGACAGACACACAGTCTCCCTTTCACTCTCCTGTTTCAACGCTTCTCCACAATCAGCTGGAATCTGCTGGGGGAGATTTCTTTTCTTTTTTTTGCAGAAGTGATGCCCCAAAAGCAAATCATGGCAAGATGCTTGGATGTGGGGAACTGCAGGTCAAAAACGGCTACAACCGAGGAACTCAAGACGGGGATGCAGCCGCTGCCTGGACGGTGAGGTGGGAAGACGTGCTCTCATTTCCAAGCACAGGAAAAAAAGGAAAGACCGTGCTGGGATAGGGACTATCACGCTTCAAAATCACTCTAGCTCTGCCTGCACCGCAATTGACAAGTTGGAGGGGCACCGAGGTGCCCCCGGAAGGGAGTTAGGAAAAGCAAAAGGGCCCGGGTGCGGGGCTGGGACAGCTCGCGCCGCGGAGTTGCAGCGCCCCTTTCTAACTTTTCCCAACTCGCTGCGAAGACGTTCGGCTCGCTACAGCCACCGGAGGCGGCGAAACACTCGGCACGTCCGGAGGCAGCAAACCAGTATCAAGTACAGAGACCAGACCGAGGGAGTTTAGCGCAGGCACCGGGCTAAAGGGCAGCAATGCGAGGTTATGGTACTGTAGTGTGGGACTTTGATTGAAGGGGGAGGGGAGAAAGAGAGGGAGACCGAGTCAGTGATGCCGCTCGTGTGAAAGATGCGTCCATCCGTTGTGGACGGGTGTTGCCGAGCGCTTGGGAAATAGCACGTCTGGGGCTCCCTCGAGCGTGTCTTTCTGGAATGTGCGGCGGCCACTACTTGCTCAAGAGAAAAGGCGCGCGGCTCGTTGCGCGAGAAGTTTTCCTTATGCCCGACACCGAGCACGGGGCGGGGGAGAAATCTTCGACGACCCTTCGACATACCTGCACACATTCCTTACATTGCTTGTGTGAGCGGGAGCGTGTATGCGTGCGCGTGAACGTGTAAATTTGTGGCGTCTACTCTTGCTTTCCTTCCGTTGGATCTAAAGGTATTTCTATGCGTTTAAGTTATTATTTCTGCGCGCCTCGATTCCAATTGCGTAGCGTGGATTACCGATCACAGAAGCACTTGGCCGGTGTGGTCTAAGAAACTAGAGAGGTTAGTACTGTGTCGGCTTTGTCAGTTGTGTATCTCGAGTGTTTCTAACCTCTAGTCCGAAGGTATCTTTGTAATGAAATACGCTACGGTCAGCGTAGGGCAAAGGGGGAATTAGCAGTTCAATCGGTCTGATTGTTGTGTACCATTAAATGCAAGTCTTATATGCACGATTAAGTTAACGCTGGAGTGCACGAACTAGCAAATTGTTTTCTGTGGTTTGCACATTCACACAAAAACCCTCGGGATGGAAAGGTAGGAAAGGAAGTCTGGCGGCAACCGCGCACGCTCAACCAAGAGAAGAGCACAGAACTGTAACCCGTCTGCGTGGGTGTGCACGCGCGCGCGCGCGCACGAAAACCGGCGAGTTCAAGTTAAGTGAGCGGGTAAGGTGCGAGTCCCAAAGGCCTATTCATTGAAGTTCGCTACACGAAAGCAAGAGAAGGCAAAAGCATACGGGGCAAAAGTTTGTTGCAAGTCGACTAAAAAGTTCTTCCCCGTCTTCCTCGCCATAAAGTGGCCGGAGTTACCAAAGGAAGCGCACCCGCCCCGCCAGCAAACCCTGCCCGTGTCCGATCGCTCCCACCTCCCTTTTTCCCGCTTGAGGGGCTTATTTTACACACACGCGCGCACGCACACACAGCGATGGGGGCAGAGAGCAGAGGCGGCTTCCAACTTGCTAGGGTCATGTGTGCATCGTCCAGCGCGTGGAAGAATAGGAGGGGGGAAAGATGAATGAGGTGCACAGATGGGACATAAAGAAAGAGGAAGAGCCTCGGAGGTGAAAGACCCGCAGCTTTTTCCCATTGCGTTTTTAGGGCTTTATGCAAAAGCTAGGGCGCGGGGGGGAGAAGAGGGGGATGCCAAAGAACGTGAAAAGGTAAGGGAGGAGGAGGTCCGAGCCGGGGAGGGGGTGTTGTAGAGGAGACTGAAGGGTTTAGAAACAAACAAACAGGAGACTTAAAAGTGGATGAGAAAATGCGAAATGGCAAACTCACCCGCTGGAAACGGCCTGGTGGTGCCAGCTAAGGGGCTCCCCCCACTGCGGGCGGGTGAGTGAGTCTGTCTGTCTGTACCTCCCTTTACTCACTCCGTCCCACCCTCCCTCCCTCTCTCCCTTTCTAGTCTGCCAGCCAGCCCCATGCAGGAGGCACAGCGTGCAACACAGGCACACAATAAATAACAATAGAGCCCTCCGCTCGAGTCGGGAACTAGCTTTCCAAAAGGGGAGAGCAGCAGCAGCAGCAGTAATCAGGCAAGGCAATCCAGCAGCAGCAGTAGGGAGGGAGGGAGGAGGACGGGGAGGGAGGGCGATCCTCTTCGCCCACTGGGATCCCCCGCCGCCGTCCTGACTGCTCGCGCTGTGCTCCAAGCGCCTCGCGAGTCTCCACCGCGAGAGCGTTGAGCTTTTTTGCGCGGAAAAAACATGCTTTTGGGGAAGAAGAGTGAGGAAAAATAACACCCCGCGGAGGGAGATTTTGTTATTTTTTGCTGTTATGAGTCCCTGACGTCACATCCACCTGCTGGGTAAACAAGACTCAGTGCAAAAGGGGGGGGGAGAGAAATACATCGCATTTGCAAAAAGAAGGGAAATCGGGGAAAGGAGGAGGAGGAGGCAGAGGGGACGGAGCACGGCAAAGAGGTGTTGGAGCCGGGGGGGGGGGATCTGCCGGAGAAGAGTCGTAAAAGATGGGGAAAAGGGAGCGAGGGTAGAAAAGCCAAGAAAACTAAAGGGAGGGGGGCAAGAGGAAGAAGATAGCCCGGAGAAGAGCAAACAGAAGGGGTCGCGGGGGGGGGAGGGGAGAGATTGGGAGAGGTGAGGCGATTTCAATTAGATAGTCTTAGGCTCGCTTTGTTGGATTCTTTCGGGATCTCCAAAAAGGAATCTCAGGTCCTCCCCAAGCAAACAAACAAAACACAGACAGAGGCGAGTGAAAGGGAAAGAATGCAAAAGTGCAAATGCTGCGGGAGCCAATTCCCTCCCCTCTGCTTTCTTTCTTTCTCTCTCTCTCTCTCTCTCTGCACGCTCTTCTCCCTTTTCTCCCCCACACTTGCCCCTTGCACTTTACCCAATGAAAAGAGGAGAGTTCGGGAGGTGAAAGTTCATTAGAAGGACAAACGCATGTGTGCAAAGAAACTGACACGTCCACCATCTAAGGCTAACTCTCCTGCTTCCCGCTCGCCCGCCCTTGTGCGTGTTTGTTCTAGAGGTGAGGAAAGTCTTGGCTGGAAGGAATCTCGACATTCAACCCACAGGCTTGCTTTAGGATGGCTCCCGGAGGACAGAACAACAAAACTTCCTCTTGGTTTTGGTTTTTCAGAGTGGTGGGGAGGAAGGTGGCTGAGTATTTACATGCCTTCCCTGCTTCTTCCTTCGTAGAACGGTGGCCACAGACTACCTTGTCAATGTGATTTTAACCTAAGTTACCTGCTTCTGTATCCATTTTTTGGGGGGGAGGGGAAACACTTTGGAGTACAATAATACTCCAGAAAAAAGTTTGTTTTCATAGGAAGGAGATAAAGGGAAGAAACTTTTTCTTTGCATTCTTCAAACACCAATTCTGAACTTAACTCTTCCTGAGATAACCCCTAAAAGGCAGAAAGAGTTAACATTTGTCACTGCTTAGATGAGCTTGATAAAGAGTCACTTCTAGGAACAGACAAGATAGGCATTTTGCAAACACTCTGAATTCAATGTGTTTCCTAATGTATTAATTGTAGCACTAAGGCCTTCATTCTCCTAACTTAGCCTATTGATAATCTTTACAGGCTGAAAAAATGCTATTTCAGTATCTTTTCTAGTATATATGAATAATCGGCTCTTCAAAACTATTTCTGAAAGTATTCAAGCTAGTCCTGTAATACAGAATCATAGTCCATTATGTTTATAGATAAGTAAATCGGAACAGAAAAGATTATGTTACCTGTGTCAAGTTAACACAATGAGTCAGTGGTAAAGCTGTGAGTAATATTCAAAGCTGCTTCTGTTTCTGAGACCTGTGGTTTAACCACTAAACAATACACTATACTTGAGTGCATAATCTATTCTAAAGACTTACTCACTTATTTTGTACTATTTATAAATATGGGCTCCGAACAGATCCCTAATAAAACACTTTCATAGCCTCAATAATAAAGAATAGCCTATTCTTTCACCTATATTATAGGAGTTTTATAAATATCTATGCCCATTTTAACCCATTACAGGTAAGTATTAGGGTGAAATACTGGTTCCATTCTATGCAAGTTTTTAAAAGGCCTACAGCTTAATCTTATACATAAACCTTTCATGCCCAATTACTTTTGCCTAGTCCTTGGTTTTGCTTATGTAACTGTTAATTATATGGCCCTTTGTCTATCATATATAGAAAGAGATCCCAGTTACCAAAGTATTTGTCTTACATTTTAAACCAATTTTAATATTTTACTCATTTTTCCTTGTTTTAAAATTTCCACTGGAAATTTACAGCATTTAAGCATTTCCACAAATGCTTAATTTTGAATGAACATTGACCAAAGAATAGAAGGCAGATAACTTTGAACTTGGTAATTGTGCATAGAAGACCTAACCAGTTATAAATACATGGCTTTGCAAATGATTCCAGTCTAACTATATTATTAGCATTATTAAGTGTTTATCTTTTGGGGCAAAATGATAAACAGATTTAGCATTTGGGTTAGAATAAATTCTGGTCTAAATTGTTTTCTAATTAAATCTTAATTTTTTTGTGAATTCTCATGTATTTTTGGATTCCATATATCTAATACATTTTGATTACATTTCACAATGATTTGCATGAAAGAAGACAGAAAACCACCTGTACTGATCTTAGAAAATATCTCATCCTCTACAAAATGATTGTTTATTGTTTATTTAATTTATATACTGCTTCTCTTACCAAAGACAACTCCTAGAGGGATTGGGAATCATATAGGACCCAAATGTCCTCCATATAAAATTTTCAGCATTCTTAAACAAGGATAAAATTTGATTGAATGCATATATGTCTCTAAATTAGGCTTTTGGTCCAATTGTGTAGTGGCCTAAGTTGCAAAATTGTTGAAAGGATAGAATAATGAAACAAGTATATATTGGCTTTCCTGAACTTAATAGACATTTTTCAGTTCTATTGATACTTTAAATAGTTTTCCATGTTTCTTTTGCATGATGTCATATGGGATAGACACGTTAATTTCTTACATTAGTCAATACACTATATATAAGAAATCAAATTTAGATTTGGGTTGTAAAGCACACTACAGTTTTATATTTGTCCTGCCATCAACAAAGGTTACCTCCTAAAATTTGATGACATTTCCAGATCAATTTAATAGCTATTAGAATGCTTCATTAGTTCCATGATACATATATGTCACATGAGACTCTAACACTGTAAAATGCAGCGATTCTATGTACCATATTACCATGCTATTTAAATAATTTTTCTGCTTTAATATAGTTAATCAAATATAGATTTACTATTACACCTTTGTAAATTTCATAGATTAAAGAAATTATCGTACAAACTGAAAAATAAATATTTTGCATTTTCATTCCAAAATGCTCAGATTAGTTTTAATACTATGATGAGTGTTATAAAAGGAATTGATTCAAAATATACATGTCCAATGGATTACAATTAAAACAAAGAGTTTAGATTGAGTCTGAAAGGATACTGTAGCATTTAAGCATTGTTTTAGTCATTTCAGTTATGAAGTTCTGTTTTATTGATGAAAGCAAAAAAATTTTGCAGAAAATATTGTCATAGTATCTTTGCCTTCTGAAAAGGAAAATTAATGGATATAAGGATGCTAGAAGTTTCCATCAAGCTCCCTGTTTCAGTCATTTTTATTTTTTTTTAATTTCATTTCATTGCTTCATATTTTTCTTACTTATATTACTATAGATATATATTGAAAAATAAATCCACATGAATTCAAATGCATTTACTGATAAATCAGTTTAGTAGCTAGTAGAATATTAGTATTTTGCAGTAAGAAATACCATAAAATATTAAGTCTTTTTTTATGTTCCAGCATGAGATGTTACATTCCAGTATCTGTTCAACCAAAATGATGAAGGTTTGCATGTCCATTTGGTAGATATTAATGGGGATCTTAACTACAGCTTAACATATTGTTCATTTTCAACACTGTCACATTGCACTCATATAGAGCACATTTTAATTTCTTGATCAGTAATCAAATGGAAGTTTCTTTTGGCAAATTAAAACGAAGGATTTTTGTATAGAAGAAAGGATATGGGAATATGACGCCACCTTTTGGTGATAAAAGTAAACACTGCAGATTTGAATTCTTAAGAAAGACTTTTGAAACACTTTTTATAGAATAAGAACAAAGTACTTGTGCCTTCTGTAATTCATTATATTTTAAATAAATAAGAGGAAAATTATTAAAAATATTTGTATGGCAAAAGATAATTTAGATGTACTTAAAGAATAATCTCTAATCTCGGTGGATATTGGAAGAAATAATTTTGCATTCTATTATTACATGTAATATTACAGAAGATTATGAAAATGCAATGAAAACCAAAGACTTTTCTTTTTGGATTGATGGATAAGCATCTGGAAAAAAAATGGAACTGTGTTTCTATATATGACGACTCCAGCAAGACTAATATAGGTACAAAGGTGAAAGATTTGACTTTACCCATAATGGAGGAATGGTAGTGAAGATGATAGAAATTGTTAGGATGGCCAAATAGACTGCTTTAATTAGAGATAGAACATAGTCTAAATTTAAGAGTGATTAAAAACTTCTTATTGATTTTTTGCAGGAAACAAAAAATAATGTCATATGGTTTTGAAGATTCAAATAAAAATAATAGATTTTAGAGAAAATGTAAACAATCTGTTTTTTTATATTTATACTTACAACTGCTATAAAAGAAAATCAAGTTACTTTATATTTTTTCTTTCTGCAGTTTTGTCTTTGTTTTTTTCTTTTCCATTTTTTCCTTTTTTCATTCTAAATATTCTTGTTAGTTTTTTTTATTCTGTGTTAACAATTTTCATGAAATTTATTTTAAAAAATAATAATCTGTAATCATATTAAGAAAGCTATGCCAAAACATGTTATTGCTGAACAGACATAATTGTCTAAATTGTCAGAAAAAAAGACCAATAAAACAATAAGCTTCATGTTGTAGTTCATCTACCTAAAAATAAAATGAATCAGCTGTAAATATGTGAGACTTAGGATGGACGTGGAGACTTTTGTCAACCTGTTTTAATTTTCTCTTTGCCTTTTTCCCAGCTTTTCATTCCAACTGAAAGAAAAGGCATAAAAAATAAAAGCAAAAGGTTTAAAAAATAATTACGATAGGTAGAGATGTTAGGATTACTCAACCTTTTTTGAAAAAAAAAAAAAAAACAGGCAGGCAGGCATTCTGTGAAAAGCCAAAGCATTTGGATAAACATGTGTTTATGATTAAAAATATGGGCTGTCTTGTTTTTGCTGTGCTGATTTAAGCCAGTCTGCCAGCTCTATAAAATATGATTAATTCCTCTGACAATAATAGCAGTGGGATTTATTCCTTACCTCCTATGCAATTGTTAATTGCTCTTGAATTGTTTACTGCTGTAGTTGTTTTACAAGTGCAAAGACAAACAGAGAGAAACTCCTTCCCCTTTCAAATCTTAAATCCCAGGTGATTGAATACTTGGCAGATTTTGGTAAGGGTGTACGCAGGTTATGACTACAGCTTGCTAGTTTAAAAAAATGGAGGTTATGACGCCTCTATAATTATAGGTGTTACAGTTTTAAAGTCAGAATGTTTTTCCAGCCATTGCTCTGCCCCACCCCCTGTATCCTATGAGCTATGTTTCCTGGAGTCCTACAGATTTTAGATGTTTTGTGAGGATCCTTAAAATCCATCAACAAGCCTTTGTCAAGAGGAAAACTATGAAATTAATTTTGAAATTGTTTACCCATCATACACATACACACATAGCAAAATAATGCTATTGTTTATTAGAAAGGCAGTTGTTTTTATTTTGCCTTGTGTTTCTGAATGCAGTGCTTTGTAAAACTGAAAATAGGGTTTAAGGGGGGGGGAGGATTTTAATTTGTTCATTGCTAGTGCTTTTTTCTGAGCAAGGTACGTAACTCTTCTAGCAATTTGTCAAATATTCTTTTTGACATTGTAATTTTATTTTTGTTCTGTAATTGAAGCAAGCAATCTTGCATGTGTGGATATAATAATGGTTCATTTAAAAATACAATTAATTGATCTGTCACTTACTGCAAGCCAGTTACTTAATTCATTGATTACCTGGGCAGAATATTTTCTACTATTTTGAACCTGAATACCTTTTTAGAATTTTAAGCTGTTGGATATGTGCAGCTACTGAACTAAAATTATGTTAAAATTTTACTGAAGATGTGTTGGTTAACTTGGAGCTTTGTGGCTTAGTTGGTGAAAAAAATTGCTACAGCCTGCTATTGTAAAGAATTTTAGAGCAAATATTATTAAACATGTGAGCATGCTAGTTTAGTTAAATTACATAGATTTCTACAGATGTTAGATAGGCATTAAGATGTTATGGGGCTTATCCAGAATAGTCAGATTTAAAGTATTTCAGATGTAATAACGTGAAACTAAAAGTCTTCCTGTGCTTTCCCTGCCATTCTCATTTGTAAGGCTGGATAATTCTAATATATGCAAAGTCATACTGGTATAATAGAATTATTAAATGCCATAAATAAAATACATTGACCTCAGTGGAAATTTCTCTTGGAAAAAAATATTGATAGCTTGCATCTTAATCTCACAACTCTCTTTCTTTCTTCCCATGTCTTTAATGTCACTTTTCATATAAAGTTGCTCTTCTTGCATTTTGTCTGTAACAGGATATCGGAAAATTTTATCTGGATCTATAGGGTATTTCATTTAATAAAAAGACGAAGATATTCTGTTTATTTTTTAATAAATTATATTGGAAAAAGAGAAAGACTAAGTCACCACTGCTGGATTTATAGAAGCCCTTCCCTTTCCTTTCAAGATGAGAAAAAATGCAAAAAAAAAAGACAGAGAAATAAACTTTTTACTTGTGCTTGCTTCTTTGACCCAGTCCATGGTTTTATATTGGCTCTTTCTCCCAGTTTCACACAATAAAGAGGGAAGAGGGAGTCAAGCTATTCTCCAAAGTACCTGAAGGCAGGACGAGAAGCAATGGATGGAAACTAAGCAAGGAGAGAAGCAACCTAGAACTAAGGAGAAACTTCCTGACAGTTAAAACAATTAACCAGTGGAACAACCTGCCTCCAGAAGCAGTGAATGCTCCAACACTGGAATTTTTTAAGAAGAGACTGGACAGCCATTTGTCCGAAATGGTATAGGGTTCCTGCCTGAGCAGGGCGTTGGACTCGACTTCCAAGGTCCCTTCCAACTTTATTACTGTTACTATTATTATTGTTATTATTATACATAGGTACATTTGCTTCTGTCTTCCTATTTGTGGTGTCCATTGTGTGCCTCTAATTGTCTTTGGAGACTCTTTGTGTGGCTGGTTCAAGGAAGAGGGAAAATAATTATAATGAAATATTTTCTTCTGTTTTTAAAAGGTGGATGATGCAATCATGTTTCAAATAGATTTTGTAGAAGGGAAATAATGAGGTAAGACATCTATTCTTTGCCTATATCATATCACATAAATTTAAAAAATGGCTTGTTGTGGAAGGACATCCAAATAATTTCAAGTAGGAATTATTTTTGGGAAAAACTACATCAGAAGTAATAGAATTTCATATTCATAATGTCATATTGGAAAGTCATTTTAAAATTTCTCTTTAAGGTTTTTTTTAATGATTTTAAGAAAGGGTTGTTATATTTTATGTTTGTATTTGTGCTAAAGAAAGTAGAAGTTAGTTTTTTTCTATAGCTTTTTACCTATGCTCCCCAATTTTACTTTCTCCCTGTCCCTTCCCCCGTTTCGCTCTAATTTTGTCTTTCTCCTTTGCTATTTTACATATTTTTAAATGTTTAATGTTGCATTTATTCTCTATCTATGCATTCTTTTTTTTTTACAGGCTAGTTCATTTCCAAAATACCAATGCATATCCAATGCTTACTGATCTGTTTGTTTCGGTGTTAGCTAATTTCAATTTTTTTAATTTTAATTTTAAATCCTTACAATGGTTTATAAAGAGAACAGGTAGCTAGGGGATACTGATAGGGATCCTGATACTTTCAGGAGATGGGGATAATAAGGAAAAGTGGATGGGGGCTTAGAAACAAACAGCGTGAAAAAGTATATTGGTTAGTGTGCCTGCCATCCAAAACCCAAACCATAGAATTGCTCATGGTATTATTTTGAAATATCCTATATAGTAGGGTGTGAAGTAGCATTATCAAACGTAGAAGGGGGCATTAAAGGTTGAAAAGAGTCAAGGCAGCAATACCTAAATGTGTGCCACAATTCTTAAAAAAAAAAAAAAATCCTTGTACAAGTGGCTGCTTGGGCTCTTGTACATATTTGAGTTAGCAACTGTGTGTGACCAGAGAGTCTACCAGGCAGCAGATTGTAATCACACTCAATTGAACACTATTACATTCTCACTATACAGCTTCCCTGTCAGTGTGAGATTGGGCTGGGGTGAAGTATGCATTCTTATTGCCTCTCTACAGCCCTTTTACAAACACCCGAAGGAAATCTTTACAGTAATCCAAAGAGACGCTTTTGTGTGTAATGGTATGTGTCTGTGCACTAACATTCTGAATTTTAAAATCATTGAACATAATGGCCATTTTGAAACTTACATAATATCCAGAAGCAGAATGTCATACATCACAGTGGGCTACTCTACTCAAGGAGCAGGGAGGTATAAAAAATAAAGAACTTACTCATATGATTTCATCAGCCAAACACAGCCTGTTTTGCCGGGTCCTTTATTATTTTTAATAACCATTCTTCTTTCACTTTATTACACTTATTTTGTTTTCTTAGCCTGATAAGGGACATTGAAATCGGTCTATACCTGATCCAAAACTCTATTAAATATATTCCATTGCCTGCAAATTCTGTATCCTAAACAAATTAAAATCACAAGAAAAATTATATTTACTTCAGTACTTTGACAAACATTTTTTCCACATATCCTATATAGTTTTCTCAAATACTTGTATTCTGAATACAAATTTCCCAATTATATACATACTTCTAAGTAATTTTTTGAGTTACATAGATTTTCATTTTACTTGAAAGCCCTGACAGATTTTTTGACATCATTTCTTCTACATTTTACATAGAAAGTTCTATTGCTACTTTTCCTTCTTGAATACTATAGTTTTTAATGTTAACTAACATTCATATGTAAATCTATAACTCACAGTAAATTTTTTGTCTCTTAGGATTTACAATATAAAATAAACCATATCTCAGCTTTCCCATATAAATAGTTTTTATCCAAGGTACTGTTACTAGGAATGTAACTGATGAGAATAATTAAATGTCACTGATAAAGGATTGATGCCTAGAGCAAATTCTTGTTTAGTACAACAACATTCTTTTGTATTTTATTCTTCCAGACCCTTCTTAGATTTCCTGTAAACATATTCTACTCATAAACAACTATCATATAATTCTATTTCTTTGGAGAAAGTTTAGGTATATTGATGGATAGAATTAAATAGAGGAGCAGAGGGAGACTATTATCTATTGAATCTTGGAATGTGGGCTTGGATCAATAGCCTTTGTAGTTAAGAATCAAAATCCTTCAGAAGACTGAGCTAAAGACAAATAGTTACACAATTACAGAATGACCGGATTCCTTGACCAACACAACTTCTTTGTTGCTCATAATCCATCACCCTCCCCTCACTTTCTGGAAACTATGATAATAAGTTCCACAATTCTATTGCATCATTTTGGAACAGGATAGTTGAAGGGATTGTTGCTGAATTTCACTTGTTGCTGAAATACATTTAGACTCACCAAGGACGTGTATTGGTGCTTCAGCTGCTGTTTAGACCAGGGGTAGCTTAGCTGGCTCAGGAATTCTGGGAGTTGAAGTCCACGAGTCATAAAAGAGCCAAGGTTGACTACCCCTGGTTTAGACCATGCAGACAAATTTAAAGTAGTAGCAGCAACTTGTTCTAGTGGCTTTCTTTCGGTCTTTCAAAATGCAGCCTTCTAACTCCATTAAAGTGCCAAATCTGTATTGAAGTTAGCTTTCTAATGTGCATGTTTCTATCCTTAGAAAGAGGCAGCAATTGCCCATTTAGTCCATTATTGGTAGTGGAAATAACTCCTAGTTTAGCTATCTAATAGATTTTTAATCAAATTATACAAAATAGATCTGTGATGTTTTTCATGTAAAACATGCCTAAAACAAAGCAGAGCTATATTACTTTGAGGGTGTCAATGAAAGTCTAGAAGCGATTTATATAATCAGCTTGTGGTGGTGAAAATCTTCATCCTGGCCACACAAATAAAATACTATCACCACATGTTAATGTTGGATTTGCAGTTGAAAGGATGGTTATTTACCTGAGGCTGCCTAACAAATTAGTAGCAGTGTCCTAATTTTAATAGTGACATCCAGATTATCACATATAAATGTTATTTGTGAAATTCAGCATTACATTCCTTAATCTCCATTCTGCTTCAGTTCCTGGGTGTCCCCCAATGCCAACATCTGCTCTAGGAAATGCCTGCTATCCAGGGGAGATTATTAGATTTGGAAAAAGAGGAATCCTTTCTCCATCCTGTAGATGAAATCAGTAATTTTCTCACCCTTCCCACCAATGATGGGAAGAAGTGGATACTACGCTATATTGTCAAAAACAACTTTTAGTCTATTTATATTCAATATTTAGGATTCCAAACTAGGAATGTTAATTGTGGTCAGAGATGTACCAATTTATCTTGGAGTACCAAAATATATTTGTTACGATATTCTGCTTCCCTATTGGCATAACAGAATGTTAAGTTATTTTGGGATGGCACTGCTACGTAAAAGTTATCACTGATCAAAATAAAATCCAGTGACAGATATAATAGTATTGAGCGGCTCTTATCTATATGAAGATTTAAATTAAAGCATGATTCAGGTGAACATTTTGTCTTGAACTGCATTAGTATTTATATTCCTTTTTAATTCTATTTAAGCTTTTATTTAACATGCAGTGTGTAAATATAAATGTAAATATATGATTTATTTTCATCCCATCTGATTAAACAGAGATATTAAACTCTTGTGGTTACTTATTACTTTTCAAGCAAACCACTGAAAGGCAATGAAAAGATAGGTTTTTACAATTGGTTCTGCAACTTGCAAGGTTAAAATTTTTATTTCTAGCAATGGTCTTAGATTATTTCAGGCATGAGGTGAAAACTAGTTTAACACTTCATAACTATTCCTTATTTCAAATCTTTTCTGCTTTAGCGTGAAGCTTTTTCGTCCCCACCCCCAAGAAGTTTCTTGAACATGTTTAGGTGTGAAAGCTGGCTAAGTAACTTTGGGCCAGTCACTCTCACTTAGCTCAAGAAGCAATATTAAATACGTTCAGTGCCTTGAGCTACTTATTTTTTTTTTAAAAAGGTAGGATAAATTTAGGATCAGGAAAACATGAGGAGAAAAATAATTGTTGTTTCATCCTTTAAAAATTCTTGCCTAGATTTTATCAATCAATACGGTTCAATTTGATTTTAATATTTATATGCTACAAATATATTACTTATATTTTTACACCAAATATAATTTTAAAAATAATATGAAATATATGAAATAAGCAACCCACATCAGTTCAGATTTTTATTGATTTATTAGATAAGATAAGATAGCCTTTATTGTCATTTTTTACTGTGGGCACAACACACATCAAAACTGAAAATTAGTTGCCTGCTTTCAAAGTGAACACATACATGACACACACCTAAACATACTATATACAACATATACATTAATTAATTTTTAGTTATGAGGTAGCTATCTGGTTAGCTAAAAAGCAGAGAAATACTACTGCTTCTAGTATATTACTAAAAATTAATTATTCAATCTTTTTTTCTAAAGACTGAGTAAAATGAGATAATAAATTGGGAATTCCCCCACTCCAGGGTCAACCCTACAAGAGTCAAAAGGAAAGGGATGTAATAGAGGGTCATACAAAGGAGAACCATAACGAGAAGTAAATAAATACAGGTAGCCTTCATTTGGTGATCTCAATTGACTCCACATTATGATCACATAACTGTGATACTGTGATAATCATAAATTTGAAAATTGGTTGCAAAATTATTGATTTTTTTAGCACCTTCATAGCTGAATAGTCTCACTGTATGAGGCAGTCATTACATAAGGATTGCCTGTACATAATTTTGTTGATAAGGAAGCTTTCTCTTTTTGTCATTGGTAGTAGAACTGGATTATCCAATGAGACTGAAAAGTGGGGAACTCGGAAGAAAAAAAACAAAAGAAAAATCTTGGCTGTGGTAATGATCTATGGAATTCACCACCAGAAATGGGTGATAACCATGAACTTGAACATTTAAAGGTAAATTTGCAAAGAGAAGGCTGCTGGTGGCTTCTTGTAATATTGTAGTCTATATGTCTCTAAGAAGAGTCTTTGAGGAACATGATGAAGATGAAATTACTAAATTCATACCAAATTCAAACTAAATTGTTTCTAATATCATGACTTTTTTATGTTTATATTTTTTAAATATTTATTTGCTGCAACTTGTCAACCGTGCTGTCTTTCACACATTGCTACAAAGGTCTGTAGGTTGCTATTGAGCTAGTATTAAATACTTTTATTGTCCAACATACTGCACTCTCCATACATTTACATTTAAGCATGTATTCTTTTATTTTGTCTATGTAGTATGTATACCTATGTAATTTACTTCAACAGACAAAATTCCTTGAATTTTTAATAGAAAACACTTCTTATACTTTTCTTCAGTAGATAAAGATTATTCAAATGGGGGGGAGATGTGGCTTACTGAGGGAGGAACTGCTGGTCAGAAATTGTCCCCAACCCAGTGGTTCCAACCCAGCTGCATGACATAGAGTGAGCCTCTGTTGCTTGACCTCTAGCTCCTGCCCAACCAGCAGTTTGAAAGCATGCAATATTGTGAGTAGATAAATGAGTACCGTTTTGGTGGGAAAAACCTAACTTGTGTTTGTGGAGAGTGGAAGCCAGCGCTGGATCTGAGGCATTGCAACACAACGTAAGGCAAAGAGACCAGCGGAGGAGCCTGGAAGATCAAGCACCCATTAGCTAATGAACTAGCAATCTAGGCTGCCAGGACTGCATTGTGTCTAGCATATGTAGATTTCCTTGACATTGTATGCTATATGCTAAATAATAAATAATTAAAAACAATACTTTTTTTTATTAGTGGAAGCAGATTATTCCAGTCCTAATGTACTGAGTGGAAATATTTTCCTTGCATCTATCTCCAATGGTCCAAAATCCAACTGAGATACTTATATCTACACCAAGCAGATGAAAGTTTGGAAACAATAATAAATAATGTTTCCAAGAATTCTTTGCTGTAAAAGATGACCGAAAACCCTGGGGAAAAGAAGGAGAAATATTGTCTAATGCTTAGGATGTAATGATCAATCTTTTATGTAAGTAGTTTGAATAGTATCTCGTACAAAAATGGCATTAAGTTGTACCAAAATCTCACAAAGCCTGTTGGGGGAAAAAAGAACAAACAATAGTTGATAACTCATTTTTGAAATTGTACAGGAAAAAAACCTACTTCACTATATCCATCCATTTAAAAAGTTGTATCGTATGAAAATGTCTATTATGGGAGAAAACTTTAAAGTTGAAATGTGCAGTAGCTGATGATTCGTGATCTTCTTCGTTAATTATATATATATATATATATATATATATATATATATATATATATATATATATATATATGGCAAATAGATATACCAAGATTTATTTCCTTTTTATGTTTAATAAATAAAACAATAGCAAAAAGAACAGAGAACAAAAACAAGTGGTGCAACAAAATATAATAATTAAAATTATATATGAGAACAACCCACTGACATAAACCAGGAGGAAAATTAAGAGGAACATCATGACAAATATTCAGCAGGCTGGCTTCATAGTTTTTACTAGCAAATTCACATACCAATGGATTTCCATAAATAAATGAGAGATGGAGAGTGGGAAGTAGATCTAGAAGGTATATTTTGAGAACACGTGACTGGATGTTTTTTTTTTTCATTGCCAGTGTTTAATTGAACTGAAGGTAAAATCAAAATAATCATTTCCTTCTTGGATTCCCAGCTGACAGATATTTCAGGTTGATATCTGGAAATTCACCCAATGTATGTGCTACATTTTGGATGTTTATCAGAGTATTACTGCTCATTGATTTTCATAAACGTTTCGACACCTACTAAACTTTCACTATTATGTAGAACACAGAGCCAAGGAAGCCACAGTAACAGGAGTTCAGATTCTCACCTAGTTTTGGTTTCAAATGTATCACTTTTTTTCTTTCTGAATATTTGAAGATATATACCACTAGGGAAGGAAGAGTGGGTAGAGAAGAATCTGCAAATTATAATTGTTGAGTTCACTAAAAGTGGGTGGCTCTGGACTATTCTTAGTCTTTTCTTGAACATTTATACATACAAATATGGATATAGAAAATGTCAAATGTTTATCTCACAATATATTCGTGTTTATTTGTCTTATGTCTCTATTCAGTTTTCAAAAGATTAATATCAATACAGTGAGAAGGAACCATAGTGATTCACAATGACCTGCAAAATAATCCATATCTTATTTGAATGGAGACCAAAATATAAACTTGTTTTAAGGACCTACAATTAGCCTTGCAAATAAGCCCTCAGCAAGAATTACTCCTCAAAATAGATGTTAACTGTGCTTATCTTTTCCCAAAAACATTATTATAGACAGCCAAATAGGGGGCTGTTTATGTCTGGCCTTTAGTAGGAGGTATGGACAATACTGAATAAGAGGTTGATGTAAGATATCACAGGATTCAGTGTTCTTGTAATATCCGTATGAAACCAATGGTATGTGGTCAGGTATCGTCGGTAAGCTGATGAAAACTAGCCGTACATTTCAATCTTGAAGAAACCAAATGAAGCTAAAGAAGCCTTGTTCCAGTAAGTTAAGACTGGGCATAGGATGGGAAGAAGCAGGCTTAAACTCAATCTTGACAAAATAGTAATAGCACTTAGACGTATATACTGCTTCATAGTGCTTTATAGCCCTCTCTAAGTTGTGTACAGAATCAGCCTATTGCCTCCAACAATCTGGGTCCTTATTTTACCGACCACAGAAGAATGGAAGGCCGAGTCAATCTTGAGCCGATCAGGATCAAACTTGAACTCTTGGCAGTGGAATTCAGAGTTAGCCTGCAATACTGCATTCTAACCACTGTGCCACCATGCCTCAAGATCATGGTAGCTGCGGGGGGGGGGTTAGAGTTCTGTAATTACTTTCCATCTTTAATTAGTGTGTAGCTTCGGAGTCATCCAGAACTCACTGCTTTTGCCCAACATATTGGGTGCCTATATATTTGATAAAATAACTAAACCTGCTACTATACATCAAAAATACTTTTTATTGGTTAAGACCATTTGGCCATTTAATCTCTTCCAGGATGGAGTTTTCCTAACTCAGAAAGGCTTGAGAATGAGCTGGGACCTTTTACATATAAACCTGACATCTGCCATTAAGATATAACTCCTCATTAACATGAAGTGCCTTACCATGATCTCTCAAGATACAATGATTTACAATCTTCACTATTCCCAGCCAGTATAGTTAATAGCTAACCAGTGATGGGATTCAGCCAGTTTGCACCACTTTGGCAGAACCGGCAGTTAATTTTTTGTTGACCAAGCCCAGGATGGACTTCCAGAAATGGCATCCACACAGAGAACCAGTTGTTCACATACTTAAATCCCATCACTGTAGCTAACATCTGGAGGATATAAAGTACAGAAATATGCATTGAATTATGCATTTTGAACAGGTTAACATAAATGAAGTGACCATAATCTTCTCACTAGCCTTAACCCTAGAAGCTGATAATGCTAATTTTGGGGGATATTACTTCCTCTTGCCATGGATCTGAAAAACTTGCACTCTAAATTCTTTGATCAGAGACTTTGCCATTTTTAAAATGTTGTTTACAGTAACATCAATATTAGGATATTCAGTGAGGTTATATTAAAGAGTAGTAGTAGTGGCATTATCATCTGTGCATTAATGCTACTTTGCATAGGTATCCTTTTTGCTCTCCCAACATTATTACATTTTTCATCCTATTATTAAATTATAATATTTATCCCAAATAGCCAATCACAGAAAAGGAAGATTTGAAAATGGTTGTATCTTTGTTATCATAGTCTTATAACAGGAAAGATGATGTACTCATTGTTTGGTCTAGTGATTAAGCCAGTGATGGCGAACCTTTTAGAGACCGAGTGCCCAAACTGCAACCCAAAACCCACTTATGCATCTTCGGGTGCCAGGTGGGTGTGGCACATTGGCTGGGTGTGGCCAATTGGGTGGGCACGGCTGCAATGGTAACGGCAGACTGGGTGGGACTAAAAAGTTCAATCAATCAATTCCAACTTTACAAGATCTTTTTTTTCCCACAAGAAATTGAAATTGACTGATTGATTGAACTTTTTTTTTTTTTGCGCACGCAGCAGAGGCCTAAAGTGAAAAGGTTTTATAAAACCCAGCTGATGGCCTAGGACTGGGGTGATGGTGCAAGTGCCCACAGAGAAGGCTCTGAGTGCCACCTCTGGCACCCGTGCCATAGGTTCGCCACCACTGGATTAGGCTATGCTAGAAAGCAGGAGATCGTAAGTCTGCCTTAGCCATGAAAGCCAACTGGGTGACTTTGGGCCACTCACTGTCTTTCAGCCCAACCCACCCTACAAGGTGGTTGTGGGAAAAATAGGACAAAGAAGTTATGTTGGATATCTTCACCACCTTGAATTAGTTGTAAAAAATAATATAGGAAAAATACAAATAAATAAAATAAAAATACATTTATTTGAGAAAGAACTTGTCTTCCTTCCGGAAAAATACAACATTATGTTTGCAACTAAGAACATAATAAAATGCAGACATTCTTGAAAAAATGTATTCAAAGATGTGAATGCCTTATGCTGAGCCTTCCTTCCTCTCTCAGGTGAAGGACCCTACGCCTAGCTACAAGTCTAGGTAAGAGAATGCCGCTGGATTGTGATTCATACTTCAGTCTCCTACTGCTATACCCCAACACAATGCATCCATTTGCCTGCAAATTGAGAATTGTGTTCAACTCTCTGTGGTTCTGCTATAACAATATCTTCTTGCTGAGAAGCTTTTCTTGACTGCTGAGATGTACAACACTTAGGCTGAACAAAAAGCAAGTTACCAGCAGTAATTTCAATCCTCACCTTCCACCCCCTATATTCTCACTGAGTTCTACTATAATATAATGTTAAAATACATATCAGAAAGTATATTAGCCCTTGCAATGTCTACATTTGTGCTAAATGCAATACTTTGTACTGATATTATAACATGAAGTGACCCTCATGAGTTCTTAGGAGTCTTCAGATGCACTTTGATTATGCAGAACAACACATCTGCTCATTCTGGTAATTTTGTTGCTCTCTATGACTTCCAATCTTACACAGTAGAAAAATTGATATAAGATTGTAGGGGTCGTAATTAAATTAGCTCAGTTTTAACTTAATAAAACAGGAATAAAAAAACAAATGGCTTTTCTATTGTATACTGGGTCAGCATTGACTGAAATAAGCTTCCAGATTTTATGGCTAATGCATGCATACTATTTAGCGTGTATCAGTTATTTGGATCATGAAACAGTTATCCTTTTACGTTCAATGAGCTGGGGGTTTCAGGCTTTTGCTTGGCAGTGCAATGTGTGTTAAAATGCCAAGCCGGTGCTTTCGTGGTAATAACATGAGTTTCATGCTGCATTTTGTCAACCTGATCCTAAGCTCTTGCAGCAGGTATTGGCCTACAATGCTGGCATGAAAACATGATATTTGATTTTGTTTTGGAGCAATGTATGATAGCAATTCTTCCAGTATTCAGTTTAAGGAAAAGCAACATCCCTTAAGATTGGTCTGGTTATATGGCCCATTGTAGCCTTAGAGATAAGAGGGCTATACAAATAATCCTTTTCCTTTGTTCCTGTTGTGAACATTTTGATAATGTTCTGGCCCCAATCTGAAGAAGATCCTATCAACGTATTTATTTTACACAGACAGGAAAAAAGTTGAAAACTATCTGAGTGGAGAGAACAAGGGAATATGGTATCAAATCTTCATTATCCTCATAGTTCATTTG